TGGTTGATATTCAATAAAATAATAAACCTCACCTGTTCACAGGTTTAACAGCCTGGGTTTCCCTCTGAAGGTCCTCTCCCAGGTCTCTATCAGTAGAACCACTGGAGGCCCTCTCAGGCAGGGGGCTGGAGTTACTGTCTGTACCCAGGTTATCGGCTCTCTTCATGGGGAGGCCCTCCTCGCTCTGATGGGTGACCTGGGTCCCAGGCTGCTGCAAGGTTTTCTTTAGAAGCTTGGGGATTGGAGATGGCTCTGTGTGAATAGTTTAGTTTATTAAGATCCCCATTAGCTACTGCACATGCAGATACTCTTCCTGGGGTCGACATAAAACGTACAAATACATGACAAAGTACAGAACAGTTATAGACATGAACAACATAAGATATTACATTAAATTGGAAAGACACCAAGAGACAACAAAAATACTATTTACACACTATTCATATACACTGAACAAAAATATAAACGCAACATGCAACAATTTCAAAGATTTTACAGGACATCAGTCAATTTAAATAAATTCATTAGGCCCTAATCTAGGGATTTCACATGACTGGGAATACAGATATCCATCTGTTGGTCACAGATACCTTTTTTAAAAACTTAGGGGCGTGGATCAGAAAACCAGTCAGTATCTGGTGTGACCACCATTTGCCTCATGCAGCGCGACACATCTCCTTCGCATAAAGTTGATCAGGCTGTTGATGGTGGCCTGTGGAAAGTTGTCCCACTCCTCTTCAATGGCTGTGCAAAGTTTCTGGATATTGACGGGAACTGGAACACGCTGTCGTACACATACAGATACAGAGCATCTCAAACATGCTCAATGGGTGACATGTCTGGTGAGTATGCAGGCCATGGAAGAACTGGGACTTTCAACTTCCAGGAATTGTGTACAGATCCTTGCGACATGGGGCTGTGCATTATCATGCTGACACATGAGGTGATGGCGGCGGATGAATGGCATGACAACGGGCCTCAGGATCTCATCACGGTATTTCTGTGCATTCAAATTCCCATCGATAAAATGCAATTGCGTTCATTGTCCGTAGCTTATGCCTGCCCATACCATAACCCCACCGCCACCAGAGGGCACTCTGTTCACAACGTTGACATCAGCAATCCGCTCACCCACACGACACCATACACGCTGTCTGCCATCTGCCCGGTACAGTTGAATCCGGGATTAATCTGTGAAGAGCACACTTCTCCAGGACCCTGTATTAGCTTCCCTTAGACGGTTTCTGACAGTTTGTGCAAAAATTCTTCATTGTGCAAACCCACAGCTTCATCAGCTGTCCGGGTGGCTGGTCTCAGACGATCCCGCAGGTGAAGAAGCCGGATGTGGAGGTCCTGGGCTGGCGTGGTTACACGTGGTCTGCGGTTGTGAGGCCTGTTGGACTTACTGCCAAATTCTCTAAAAACGACTTTGGAGGTGGCTTATGGTAGATAGATTAACATTAAATTATCTGGCAACAGCTCTGATGGACATTCCTGCAGTCAGCATACCAATTGCACTTTCCCTCAAAACTTGAGACATCTGTGGCATCGTGTTGTGTGACAAAAGTGCACATTTTAGAGTGGTGTTTTATTGTCCCCAGCACAAGGTGCACCTGTGTAATGATCATGCTGTTTAATAATCTTCTTGATATGCAACACCTATCAGGTGGATGGATTATCTTGGCAAAGGAGAAATGCTCACAAAGAGGGATGTAAACAAATTTGTGCACAAAAGTTGAGAGAAATAAGCTTTTTGTGCGTATTGAACATTTCTGGGATCTTTTATTTCAGCTCATGAAACATGGGACCAACACTTTACATGTTGCTTTTATATTTTTGTTGAGTGTACATATTCATATATACAGTACAGTTAAATTAGATCTTTAGAAAGAGGAGAGGCGCTGTGATACAATACTGTGTTTTTCATCTGTTTTTTAAAGCTAAACTTGCTTTTTGCCTGAGTAATCTCTGGTGGCAGAGCATTCCACGATGACATGGTTTTATACACAACTGATGGACGCATTAAATATGTTTTTGGCTTGGGTACCGTGAAGAAACCCATAGTGGCGTGTCTGGTGGGGTATATATGTCTGTTTGTTGTGCATGGATTATACAAGTAGTTAGTCATTTTCAACACACAAATGTTTCTTAAAAAGACTAGAAGAGAAGTAGTCAATTTCTCCTCAACCATGAAAGGCTATCAAGCATGTTGTTGATGTTAGTTCTGTGTGTGCAGTTAAGGGTAAGGCTTGCTGCTTTGTTTTGAGCCATATGCAGCATTGCTAGGTCTTCCTTTGATGCACCTGACCCTATTCCTGGACAGTAATCAAAATGGAACCAGATCAAAGCCTGAAGAACTAGTACAGTTCATCTTTGTGTCAAAAACGCAGAACATCTTTTTATAACAGACATACCCCTCCCCATCTTCACAACAACTTTGTCAATATGACTTGACCATGATAACTGACCATCCAATGTTACTCCTAGGATTTCAGCTTCTTCAACTTGTTCAATGGTCTCACCCTTTAATGACAGCTCCAGTTGAGATGTAGGTCTAAGAGAATGCTTTGAACCAAATACAATGTTTTTGATTTGAGATGTATAGTATTTAAGACCAGTTTATTGTTAATTACCCATTCTGACACGGACTGTAACTCCTTGTTAAGATTCTCAGTGAGCTCATTGGCTGTAGGTGCTGATATGTAGAGTGTGCAATCATCAGCATACATAGTAATTTCTGATTCTTGTAAGTGGCAAATCATTTGTAAAAATAGAGAAGAGTAACGGCCCAAGGCAACTGCCCTGACGGATACCGCACTGTACATACCTGAGAAGCTTCCCTTGAAGAATACTCCCTGAGTTCTATTGGATAAGTAACTCTCCAACTGTGTGATGGCAGGTGATGTAAAGCCATAACAAGTGAGTTTTTTTTCAATAACAATTTACAGTGAGGGAAAAAAGTATTTGATCCCCTGTGATTTTGTACGTTTGCCCACTGACAAAGAAATTATCAGTCTATAATTTTAATGGTAGGTTTATTTGAACAGTGAGAGACAGAATAACAACAAATAAATCCAGAAAAACGCATGTCAAAAATGTTATAAATTGATTTGAATTTTAATGAGGGAAATAAGTATTTGACCCCCTCTCAATCAGAAAGATTTCTGGCTCCCAGGTGTCTTTTATACAAGTAACGAGCTGAGATTAGGAGCACACTCTTAAAGGGAGTGCTCCTAATCTCAGCTTGTTACCTGTATAAAAGACACCTGTCCACAGAAGCAATCAATCAATCAGATTCCAAACTCTCCACCATGGCCAAGACCAAAGAGCTCTCCAAGGATGTCAGGGACAAGATTGTAGACCTACACAAGGCTGGAATGGGCTACAAGACCATCGCCAAGCAGCTTGTTGAGAAGGTGACAACAGTTGGTGCAATTATTCGCAAATGGAACACAAAAGCACTGTCAATCTCCCTCAGCCTGGGGCTCCATGCAAGATCTCACCTCGTGGAGTTGCAATGATCATGAGAATGGTGAGGAATCAGCCCAGAACTACACGGGAGGATCTTGTCAATGATCTCAAGGCAGCTGGGACCATAGTCACCAAGAAAACAGTTGGTAACACACTACGCCGTGAAGGACTGAAATCCTGCAGCGCCCGCAAGGTCCCCCTGCTCAAGAAAGCACATATACATGCCCGTCTGAAGTTTGCCAATGAACATCTGAATCATTCAGAGGAGAACTGGTTGAGAAGAAGTGTTGTGGTCAGATGAGACCAAAATCGAGCTCTTTGGCATCAACTCAACTCGCCGTGTTTGGAGGAGGAGGAATGCTGCCTATGACCCCAAGAACACCATCCCCACCGTCAAACATGGAGGTGGAAACATTATGCTTTGGGGGTGTTTTTCTGCTAAGGGGACAGGACAACTTCACCGCATCAAAGGGACGATGGACGGGGCCATGTACCGTCAAATCTTGGGTGAGAACCTCCTTCCCTCAGCCAGGGCATTGAAAATGGGTCGTGGATGGGTATTCCAGCATGACAATGACCCAAAACACACGGCCAAGGCAACAAAGGAGTGGCTCAAGAACAAGCACATTAAGGTCCTGGAGTGGCCTAGCCAGTCTCCAGACCTTAATCCCATAGAACATCTGTGGAGGGAGCTGAAGGTTCGAGTTGCCAAACGTCAGCCTCGAAACCTTAATGACTTGGAGAAGATCTGAAAGAGGAGTGGGACAAAATCCCTCCTGAGATGTGTGCAAACCTGGTGGCCAACTACAAGAAACGTCTGACCTCTGTGATTGCCAACAAGGGTTTTGCCACCAAGTAATAAGTCATGTTTTGCAGAGGGGTCAAATACTTATTTCCCTCATTAAAATGCAAATCAATTTATAACATTTTTGACATGCGTTTTTCTGGATTTATTTGTTGTTATTCTGTCTCTCACTGTTCAAATAAACCTACCATTAAAATTATAGACTGATCATGTCTTTGTCAGTGGGCAAACGTACAAAATCAGCAGGGGATCAAATACTTTTTTCCCTCACTGTATGATCAATAACATCAAAGGCTGCACTGAAATCTAACAATACAGCTTCAACTATCATCTTATTATTCCTTTATTTTAGCCAATCATCAGACATCCGAGTCAGTGCAGTATAAGTTGAGTACCCTTCTCTATATGCATGCTGAAAGTCAGTAGTTAACTTGTTCTTTGAAAAATAGCATTGTATTTGTTCAAACACAATTTTCTCCTTCAGATCACTCAGAACAGGCAGCAAAATGATTGGGTGGCTGTTAGAGCCAGCAAAGGTTGCTTTACTATTTTTAGGTAGTGGAATTATTTCCACGCATGTGGACACACATACTGCCTTAGGCTTTGGTTAAAGACATAGCAAATAGGGGTGGTGCACAGTCTGCTACCATTTTCAATAGTTTCCCATCTAGGTTGTCTATACCTGGTGGCTTATCATTATTGATGGATAACAGGTGCATGTTTGTCAACAATTGGAGACGGAATCAGACTGACCAGGTACAGTAGGACGGTTCCTTCTGGCCCCACCAGTTGAAGCTGTATCTGAAGATGCACCCTGATCAGTGGTGAATGTGTGTTCTTTGGAGACGTCTTCACACATGAGTGGAGGGGCGTTAGAGGTACTAGACTCCACATCCTGAGCTGACGTAAGCTGCCCTTGGTGTGGTTCTTCTTCCTCAAGGTGGGCCTGTGGGTCTCCGTGTTCATTCCTGTCAAGTGATCCCCCTCTGGTGATGGGAGGCAGCCCCTGGTCCCGTTGGGGCCTTGGACCAGGACCAGCCTGGCTGGATAAAGTTGAGAGAGGCTGGTCCTTTCTGGAGCCAGGCTGGCTGGATAGTGCCATGAGCAGAGGAGAGCTACACACATTGTCCCCTGCCGGCCGCTGGCTCTGACTCCTGCTCAGCCCTGCCCCTGTCTTCTCCTTGATCTTCTTGGTCCCTCTTTTCCCAGAACTCCCACTCTTGTCCCTCTTCCTGAGGAGGAAGCGAGGCAAGGTGCCCATGTGGGTGTAGTTGTCGCTGGAGCGGGCATAGCTGGAGGTGCATGGATGCATCATATCCATGTCGTCAACAAACGTCTCCGCAGCGATGGGGGAGGATACCATGTCCAGAGCCCCATCAGGCTCGGAGGAGGAGGACTTGGAGTTGGATTTGTCAGACAATGAGCTGCGGCGGAAGGAGAGGTTAGGGAAAATCCCGAACCACTTTAAACCTGTTGAGGGAGGGGGCGAGACAGACAGATAATATGTCATACATTTACAGTAGTACCCTGGAATGCTCTTAAAATAAAATTCCACTCAAAGACTTTTGGTATTTGTTTCATTAATCCATTGTTGATATAGTCCCAAAATGTTTTACATGTCAGCAATCAAGTTTTCAAGATATATAACTTTAAAAATAAAGAAATACAGCCGGTATGAAGATGTTTTGTACACTCAGTGTATATCTCTTTTGTATATAGTCTATTGTCTTTGTTTTCCTCACATTATTGGTTATATACCCTGTTTAAGTTTTCTAGAATGTTGACTGTGTTCTAGAATGTTTGGAACGTGACCCCCTGTGCTGGGTTGTTGGAGTGCAAGAGGTGATTGCTGGCATGTTGTTCAAAGCTGTTCAAAGTTAACAGTATAACATGGTCAGATTCAGAGTTGGTGGGAGAGCCAGAACAGCCTCTCAGGGCCCAGGGGAACAATACATAAACACTGGGCAGGAATGGAAACAGCTTGTCTTATGTGTATGAGCTAACTGGTTCTTTTGAAATAATTATTTAAATGTAATTATTGAATATTGAGGAAGATGGTGTGTTAAGATAGGGGGCCCAGCACTAGCAGCATATTTAGTTGGTGTGGAGCAGCAACAGTTGAGACAGTAGATCAGGTGCAAAATAGGTGGTAGGCTATTTAGTCTATATACAGTGTAGGTGATGGAGAAGACTGGATCTGGAGTTGTATTCACAAAAATGTACAAATGGCAACAATGACTTAAGGGCCCAGTGCAGTCAAAAATGTGATTTCCCTTTGTTTTATATATATTTCCACACTATGAGGTTAGAATAATATTGTGAAATTGACAAAATGATGATAATGCCCTTTTAGTGTAAGAGCTGTTCGAAAAGACCGCCTGAAATCTTTGCCTGTTTTGGTTGGATGGAGTTTTGGACTGCATGGTGACATCACCAGGTGGTAATTTATTAATAGACCAATAGGAAAGAGAGTTTTCCCCTCCTCACTCAGACCACTCCCCAAAAATGTAGAGTACTTGGCCAAAACTAGAATAACGTGAGTAAAGTAGGCCTACAAAGGCAAAAGTGCCTCAAGGACAAAATAACGTCCATCTGAGTTGGCCAGCGGTTCTCAGACTTTTTGGGTCCGGGGACCCCTTTTGTGATAGCAAATTCATAATCAGAACAACTCGAGCGAGATAAAAATAGCATATTCACAGCAGATTCTCCAGTGTTAAATCAATAATGAGAGTGTTAAATCAACCCTGAAAGATTGGGACCATATGCACACTGGAACCAGGGTTAAATTATCACACTGCTTAGTTAATAAGAGTCTATTGACACATCCGTGCGTCAATCTAAGTAACATAATCAAAAAATCCTCATAAAAATCCATCGGTTTAAACTAGAGATATCTGTTTCGCATGGGCTGCTTCTCAATCCACTGCTTCCGTCTATGTCAGCCTTCTGCATCTGCCGTGGAAAGTGGCAGAGCTACAGCGCTGTTTGTCAGAACAGGAGACATCCTGAAAATCTATCTTCGCACGAAAACGTCTGTAACGTCAGAGCGGTTTGGCCTACAAACTAATATGACCACTCTAAGATTCTCATGAACACCATTTTGCTCTAACAACCCCACAAGTGTCATGGGACTCCTCTGAAGGTACTGGTTGAAAAAATTAATGGAAGTATGGAGGTAGTTTTGTGCAAACCAAAAAAAATTGGTTAAATATGTGTCCAAAAAACAATGATATTTCACTTCTAAACCTTACTCCTTATGATTTTTTTATACTGTCTGTTTTGCCATTTATTAATGTGTTATTCAATGCGTTTCTATGGGCTACAGAAGGTCCTAAAATTCTAAATAAAATAACGGAATTATCCATGGTATGACCATCTTAAAACAATTCCATATGTTAGCTTAGTAGAACCCCCCCCTCCCAAAGTGTAGACTTTTAGAGGTTAAAACCTTATTCCAATATTTCCTAGAGTGCCTTGCTTTTCGAGTGAATTGTAGAGTTACCACCCATGACTGTATTTGTTAGTGCAGTGGTTCCAAAACTAGGGGTCGCATCCCCATGTGGAGTCGCTTGATATGAAAATGGGGTCGCAGGAGAATCTCTAATATCCTGAAGAAAAAAAACACATACAAAAATATATATATATTATAATATCGTCTTTGTATCTCAAAATCATTGTAATGTGGTTAACCTTAAAAATCGAAATCAAACGTTAGTCAAATATAAAATATAAAATTCAACCAGAGAATTCTGATTGATCATGGGAAAAGGACACATTTGACTGTTGCACTTGAATCATTCCCACATTGAATGGCTAGGCCTGCTACGCTATGAAACCACACACTATTGCAGAGACTTTGATATTACCGGCCGCAATTTATATGGTGAAAACAATATATGGGGAGGCAGAGGCACAAAAACCCACATCTATACCTTTGTCAGATAACACTGTTAAACGAAGAATGTATGCTATTGCTAGCAGTCAAGAGGAAACTGACTGAATGACTCAAAAACTCCCCAGCTTATGCTCTCCAAATAGGCGTTAGCTGTGAGGGCTGAGATGCCCATGCATTGACTTTTGTTCGCTATACATGTCGGGGGATGCTATTCACAGGGACATTATTGTTCTGTCTCACGATTCCCGACCATGAAATGGCACAGGGGATGTTCAGTGTTCTGCGTGGCTATTTTGACGAAAATTGATTCCATGGGATCGAATGGTGGGCTTTTGCACAGATGGGGCTCCATCTACAGTATGGGGGACGGCGGGCAGGACTCTGCACTCTAGTTATGAATGTGTCTCCCTCTGCCATATGGACGCGTTGTATTATACACAGAGAGCAACTGGTGGTGAAAGAGCTGAGTACAGAACTCGGAAATATACTTCAGCAGGTAACTTTGATTGTAAACTACATCAAACCACATCCACTGCTCGCACGCATGTTCGCAAAACTATGTGGAGATATGGGATCAGAGCATGACAATGTTCTATTTCATACTAGGTTAGGTGGCTTTCGAGGAGGAGTGTTGGAAATATTTTTTGCATTGAGAGAGCAACTGTTGTCATTCACAATGGAAGTAAAAAAAAAAATGAAATGTGTCTCCTTGCCTATGTAACAGACATATATTTGGGAAACTGAACGAACTGAAAGCAAGCATGCAGGGGAAATACAAAAGCATTCTACAAATGAGTGACTGAATCAGTGGATTCAGAGGAAATAATTCTTATTGGAAAGTCTTTCAAAAGCGAACCATGCCCCCTTCCCTCGGCTGTGCATGTTTCTAACAGAAAACAGCATCAGTAAGTGTCCCACACGAGTGATGACTGCTCACCTCCAACGCTTGGAACAGCACTTTAGGACCTACTTCCCAATCCGTTTGACTGTGATTCTGGCTCAGTTGACATGCTGTCATGTGACCGAATGCATTCATGGGTCACTACGGAGGAGTTTTGGTTCCTGACTCAAAGGGAATAATACTCTGTCGTCTCCCTCTGACCATTAATGCCACGTTCAAAACAACTGGGTACTCAGAAATCTCCGACTTCAGTGCGTTCAAGACAACTGGGAAGTTGTAAAAAAACAAACTCCAGCTGTGAAAAAAAGTTTTGAACGGTCATCCAGCTCGGAATTCCAACTTGGGAACTTGGGCCTCTTTCTAGAGCTCCGACTTTCTGACCTGAAGATCACTGACATCATGATTTGACCTCGTATTTTTCCGAGTTCCCAGTTGTCTTGAAACACCATAAAACTGATGGTATCTTTCGCCAGCTCCTATCTGTGTGAAGCTGAATTCAGTGCTCTCGTCTGTATTAAAACCAAATATCGATCCAGGTTGGATGTGACAGCAGAGATGAGGTGCGCACTGTCGACCATGCACCCTGACTTGAGAAGCTCTGACGCGACATGCATCAAGCACACCCATCTCATTAGTGGTGGCGACATAAGATACTTTATGTCAGACTAATTTGCAATTGAATGTCATAACCCCACATTAAAAGGGCCTGAAACTCATACACATAACTGTGAACCAAAACCACACCCATCATTATCATATTTCCCAGCATGCACTATTGCAGGTTGATTTTTTTGAATTGTTAGTTTCAATATCTATGTTTGTGCATGAACATTGATTGATTAATTAATCTTATGCTACCCAAATATAAATGACATACATTTTCTAAACTAATCCAATATGTTACTTGGACATATTGCACCCATTACTGAAATGGTTGTTCTAGTTTAGTCTTCCCAACCTTGGCAATCATTTTGAATGCAGGGCATCATATTACATCAGTGAAGTGCGCACTTGGCTCAAGGAATGTAGTCTCCTGATTGGCGCAGTGGTCTAAGGCACTGCATCGCAGTGCTAGCTGTGCCACTAGAGATCCTGGTTCGAATCCAGGCTCTGTCGTGACCCTGAGACCCATGGGGCGGTGCACAATTGGCCCAGCGTCGTCCAGGGTATGGGAGGGAATGGCCGGCAGGGATGTAGCTCAGTTGGTAGAGCATGGCGTTTGCAACGCCAGGGTTGTGGGTTCGATTCCCAAGGGGGGCCAGTATGAAAAAATAAAATAATAATAATGTATGCACTAACTGTAAGTCGCTCTGGATAAGAGCGTCTGCTAAATGACTAAAATTAAAATGTAAATGTGAACAGGATGGATCAGTGGTGGCGATTGAGAGTTTTTTGGAGAATGGTTGTGTCACTGCTCGCAAAATGTTGGTGCCCGGAGAAGACAAGTTTCCGAGGTAAGCAGGACGATTATGAGATGTACGGTAGTTACGTCAGAACGCAACCGGGCCGCAAGCAAAGTCATGAGAAGAGGAATAGTGGGACAGGGATACAGAAAGGTAGATTTCTGAAGAGGAATGGAGGAGAAAAAAGAGGAAGAAGAGGTCAAAGAGAATGAGGAAAGCAGAGGTTGGATTTGAATTTGAGGAAGATGGCGAGAAAGATGGAGATGGGGTGTCGAAGAAGATTGGTGTCAAGTGCAAACAGAGTGAGTTGT